GGTGTTTAAAATTAATTTTAGTGTTGGATTATTTCAATTAAAATTTTTATTATCTAAAATATTTTGCCCTGGTTAATAATTAAAGATCAAAAGAATTTTATACTTAAAAATATTTAAAAGAGTTTGGTTAATTGAATGAACCGTATTAATAAAAAATCAAAATTTTGATAAATAAAATTAAAATTTTGAATTAGGTTCAGCTATTAAAGTAAAAAATATTAACCAAAATAATAAAAGGCAAGAAAAAGAGAGCTTTGCTAATTGTTCTTTTTCTTAATTTCAATATTTATTTAATTAAAATTAATGAGTGCTTGACATTTTAACATTTGCCAAAAAAAAGGTTATTATCAAGCGTTTAAAAATCCTAATACACTTACAAGAAATTTAGTTAGAGTATTTTCATTTATAGGAAACTTGAAATTCAACTTTCATTTAACTTGAAGAAAAAACATGATGAATCCCCCATAAAAGAAACTTTTCAAAAAAACTATTTTAAAAATTAAAATTAAAATTTCTCTCTAATAAAATTTTTAATTTATTAAAAAAGTTATTTAAAACAAACTTATTTTTAAACTCTCACCAACCACCCTTTTAGCCTCTTGATTATCGGCTGCCAATCGTAAAGTGCTAGTTAAATCTCATGTGTGGTTATTGAATATGTCTTTATTATATTTTCGTCTTCATCCCGGACAGGTACAATATTGTAATATAGTAATAACAATGTAGTATTTTGTTTATATCATAAATAACACTCAACTTAAGGATGCCGCATATACAAAGTCTTGCCATATATGTCATTAAGATTTTACAACTAATCTAGAGTTAATTGTTTGCATCTTAAATTGTGATTGTTATGGTGACCCAGCACTACGTGGCTAGAGGTGATTTCATCCCTCCATTTAATGAGATTTATTTGAAATTTACTTGAATTAGGAAATGGATAGTGCTATTGAGACAATTTTTTTGTCTCACCTTTTTATATAACTTCCACAAGTCATTAAATGAGTTGATACATTTAATATCACGGATCTCATATAAATTAAAAGAATCAATTATTTTAATAACGCATCAAGTTGTACAAACAGATAGAACAAAATGATTGTCCCAATAGCATTTCCATTAGGAAATTAAGAGAAGATTAAGGGGAGAAGATGACGTTGAGGTTCACTTTTGAGTTAAATTAGGAAACAAACTCATAGCTGCTAGGCTTGGAGGGTTTTTAGGATAACTGCTGCTAGGCATGGAACAACTCAGCCACTGACGTAAGGTTATGGGGAGTGGAGTGAAAACCAAGGGCAACCTCTCCAGCATTGAGGTAAAAGGAGATCTCTCGACAAAAGTCGGTTTTTTGGGCGTAACCCTCTCAGAAAATCACCTAAGGCATGTCAATTTCAGTTTCAAATCAGCTTAGCCAGCGTTTAGCATAATTTCCAGATTGCAATTCAAAGGCATGTTGTTCATATTTTTAGTTTAAATCCTTTGTTTGTTGGAGGCTTGCCCTTCTCAAGAAATTTCTAGAATCAATCAATCTACATCATGTTTTCTAGATTGAAGCTTTGAGACTAGATCTTACTTTATTTTTTTTTTTGTTAGATTTTTATTTTTTTGGTTTTATTCTAATTCACTTAGTTTTTAAAATTAGAGACTAGTTCTCACATTTTTATTGTAATTGTTGTATGTTTTTAACTTTTTTAGATTTTTCTTATGAACTCACTTTGTAAATTTGTTAATATTAAATTTCAGATTTATTATTATTGTTTATTTGAGTTTTACAATTGTTTTCAAGTTAAGTTAATGCAATCATATTTCTTTGTACTTCCAAAACTTCAATTTAATTTATGTCTTATTCACTTATGCTTCTACTATCCGTCTGCAGTATAGTTCGTTATCCTGCATAATTAAGTTTGTTCTGCAGCTAATTTTCCTTCTATCTATCATGCAAATAGGTTAATCTAGTTTGCAATGTAGTTTTTTCCAATAGATCTGCGAATTTACTTCTTGTCTGCTTGTTTAGGTTTCATTACTTTACATAATTCCTTAATTATTGTTTAGGTTTGTCGTCATCTCCTTATAGCACTCTACATCTTATGTTTGTTTTATAGCATTCTTTAGGTCTGTCTTTTAGTTGTCATCCCTTTGGTTTCATTGTAGTTGTTTGTATTTAGATGTCATGTCTATCTTCTTTTTAACAAACACATTTAAGAAACCTTTGATGTGGGAAGTCTTTGGTGATTTTATAGAGTATTATTTTTAATCTATTTGTTCAAAAAAGCATCCCTTCTTCTAATCAATCATTTGGTCTGGATGTATCTCTTTATTAAATTGATATTCTTCCAATTATTCAACTTGAAAGTGGATCTCTTAGAAAAAGAGTGATCAAGAAAGTTTTTTTTTTTCTTTTTTTGGCTATAAAACATATAAAACCAGTGGTACATTTAAGCACATCTGCCACGTGGCTATCAAAAGGAGAATTTTTTAAGAAACAATAATATATATGTCACCAATGTTATTGTTATTATTAAATTTATTAAAACTATTAATTTAATTGTAATTTTATTAATGTGATATTTGAAAATATACATTTATAAACTAATTTTAATCTATTAAATAATAAATATTACTTTAATTGTTTTATCAATTATCAGGTATTTTTAACAATTAAATTAAAATAATTTTTTAATAAATTTTTATAACAATAACAAATCTAACGGTGATGGTAACCATAACCGTCACCATTTTTTTGATCTTTTTAGGCCTTTTACAGACTACACTGTCATCTTTCCCATTATGATCAGTAAAATTAGTTGTCTACTTTTAGATTTTAAGATGATATTTAACACATTTATTATCATTTTATTTTTATTTTAATAAGATAATTATAACATTTTTTATAATAAGAATACTTATTTAAGTCATGGTGATTCGGTATAAATATGAAATTTAATTAATTAATTATTATATTTTTATTTCATTATAGGAAAAAAATTAAATCAATTAAAGTTGAATAGAGAGAGTATGATACTAAATTTAACTTTGAAAAATAATTGAGATAATTTTTGTGTATAATTTTTTATATAATTTTAAGTATCATTTAAATAATAAATTTTTTTATTCATTTAGGACCATGATATTAAGTGAGTGTTGTTAAAACTAAATCGGATCGATTGATCCAATCGATTCAATCACCACCCAGTTGCTGAAACAGTTGGATGAACACCCAGACCCGTTTTGACGATCCAATCATCCAAACCCCAAAAAAAACTAAATCAAATCGATTGATCCGATCGGTTCAATCACCACCTAGTTGCTAAAATAGTTGGATCCAATTGGTTCAATTACCACCTAGTTGCTAAAATAGTTGAATCCAATTGGTTCAATCATTGCTGAAACGACTGGATAGAGACCCAAGCCTGTTTTGATGATCCAATCGTCCAAACCCAAAAAAACCACTTGATTCGTCCAGCTCGATAGATCCACTGGGCGAATTCTCCACATTGAACGTTGCAACTTCGTTTTTTTTTTTTCATTCCACGATCAGTTCACACTTCAAAGCTTAAATTTGCCATCTCAAAGGTCGGTTCACACTTCAAAGCTTAAATTTACCATCTCAAATGATCGAACACGTGACTTCAAGTTTTCAATAGCTTTTGCAACTAGAGCATCACCTTCAAAATCAATATCTCTTACTCAAATTTTCATTTTTTTTTTTAATTTTAAGTAGAAAATAATTGAACATATCATTTAAGGAATCCAGCTTCCTTCAACTTTATCAAATTCTCAAAACAAATATTGTTGACTTTTATGTTGAAATTAATATAAAATTTTATTAATTAATTATTACA